AAATCTCCAGAGGCAGGTATATATCAGTGTGCTATATACCTGCCTCTGGAGATTTCCATTACTTGCATCTGAAGAAGTGAGGTTCTGACCCACGAAAGCTTATGCTCCCAGTACTTCTGTTAGTCTCAAAGGTGCCACAGGACCCTCTGTTGCTCCTTCCCTTTATAGTTATGACAAGCCGTGTTAGTCTGTATCCACAAAAACAACAAGGAGTCTGGCGGCACCTTAAAGACTAACAAATTTCTTTGGGCAGAAGTGGTGAGGTTTTTTTACCCACAAAAGCTTATGCCCAAATAAATCTGTTAGTCTTTAAGATGCCACCGGACTCCTTGTTGTTTTACTGTATGCAGTGTTGTTGTAGCTGTGTTGGTGCCAGGATATGAGAGAGACAAGGTGGGTGAGGTAATATCTTTTATTGGACCAACTTCTGTCGGTGAGATAAGCGTTTGAGCTTACACTGAGCTCTTCTTCCTAGACCTGAAGAAGAGCTCTGTGTAAGCCTGAAAGCTTATCTCTCTCGCAATGGGGTGCAGTCCAGACCACTGAAAGGCTGTGTCACCACTTACCCAAGAATGTGGGGTGCCTCACAGTGTTTTGCTGCTGTAGCTCCCAAACTGGGCTTCTCACAAACAGCATGCAGGTCACACCCTGTGTGTCCATGTATAGCTACAATCCTGGCCCGGCAGCTCTGACAGCAGCCTGTCAGCAAATATCAGCCACACGCTGGCTTCCAGCATCTTTGGTTACTGCCTGCAGGGTGACCCCAGCACACTCCCAGTCCCAGATTTTCCCCCAAAACTGTGCGTTTTGCACTCTTCAGCCTTCTCCTGGGCAGTCCTGATATTTTAGGTCCATTCAATTAACAGTACTGGATTACTTTTAATTAAAGAATAAAACAAGTTTACTTAACTACAAAGAGATTTTAAGTGAGTACAAGTCACGAGGCATTAAAGTTAGAAATAGTTACAAGAAAAATAAAGATGAAAACTCTTTCTAAATTTAACAAACTAGACTTGATTCAACATGAGGTCCCTTACCACATGTATTCAGTACATTACTGGCCAAACTCTCAAGCCAGGATCTGCTCCTAAAGTCCATAGGCTGTTTCTTTTGTTGTTTTAGGTGGAAAGGAGAGATAGATGGATGGGGGGGGAGAGATTACCTCGCCCACCTTGCCTCTGTTATGTTGTATTCTTCCTGGGTGCAAGTCTGTTCCCAAGGCCAGTCAAAAAAAAGCATTTTAAAGCAGCCCTTAGTCTTAGGTGCTGTTCCTGTAGTCACTTACACACAGGCTTAACTTCACTACTGTGAGTAGTCCCACTGATTTCTATGGCACCACTCTTGCTAGTAATGTTTAGTGTGTTTGTCTGCAGGATCAGGGCTTTACCCATCAATTCTTAAAGTAAAGTAGACGCTTTAAAAATAAATACATCTATGTCTAGCCTCAGGAACCAGGGAGGAAGAATTGGGCCATATATGGCCTTCAACTTTAGGAAACTCTCCCCACTGCTCATCCTTTCCTTAATTTAAAAATAACACAGGTGCATCAACACTGATCAGAATGCCTCATCAAGTATGATCACTTGTTATAAAATAAAAATCAAGAGTTGTAGAGCAGAGGAGGAGATCATGATCTTTTACTCACCTGTTAACTGAGGATTTATGTTCTCTCAGAATCCTATGGCAGGTGGATTTTCTTGCTGAACAGGGCAACTTAACAGGGCTTGCATACCCAAAAATTCCCCAGACATTTTTAGCTAGATCATGCCCTTTCGGTCTCTTGGGGGCTTTTACATTCTTGAGATGTTAAAGCATTAGCTTGTATCATTTGCTGCTTGTCATGCAAAAGTTATCTGATTATTTTGTGGCAATGTCATTTAACCAAAACTTGCCTTGTTTCTCACTTTATGATCCAGACCCTTAAAATGTCAGGGAGCGAGCTTGAACTAAATTCACCACCGGAAAATGCAAGGCTTCAATATATCAAAAGAACAGAGGTTCTGCTAGATATGTTTCTTCGACTTCCAGAAGCAGACCAGTAAGTGATGCTCGGGTCTTCATTTGTTTTACCAACTAAGCCCTTTTTTGTTCTTGTATTTGAAAATCATTCATCGATTTACAAAGCTATTGAATCACATTGAAATGTAAAGATGACTTCAGGGAAATAGAAGGAGTCCCCTGCGCTGTTTAACAAATCTCAGGTGACGACATGAGAGGAAATGAGGGGTGCACTGAACTACTATATCCCTCCCCCACAGTTGGATGGGGAATGGAGAAAGTGCAGGTTCCATTCCTTCCAGCAGACTGAGTGGCACAGCTACACTGCCTCCTCAGGGAACATAAGCTCTGTGCATCATACTCCCTCCCCAGAACAGCAGGGGAACCAGGAGGGATGCTGGGGCAAAGCCATGATAGAACCCATATATTGGAACATATTGCCAAACACCTGGTTGCTCAACACCAATTAATTATTTAAAAAAAAAAATGGAGATATCCTATCTCCTAGAACTGGAAGGGACCTTGAAAGGTCATCGAGTCCAGCCCCCTGCCTTCACTAGTAGGACCAAGTTCTGATTTTGCCCCATATCCCTAAGTGGCCCCCTCAAGGATTGAACTCACAACCTTGGGTTTAGTAGGCCAATGCTCAAACCACTGATCTATCCCTCCCCACAAAACAAAGCCAAAGCTTCTAATCTTAAAGTGGTCAGCAAATGAGCCTTTGCCCTGTAACAAGATAATCCTCGTTCCCTTTTCAGCTCGTGCTGTTAGACTGAACCAAAATCTGAGGAAAAATGTGTTAGACTAGTGTCTTCCATTTTGCATGTTACACTTCTTATAGTGGACCATGGAAGGGAGCGGAAACCTTTTTAAGGGTCCAAGCTTGACTAGGTTCAGCTAGACTCATTGCCTTGGACTCTGTAAACCCCTGCTGGGATTTCAACTCAAAACCCCTACAGCGCTGCCTGGATCAGCAGGGTCTCCCAGCGACACCAATGGAATAGTAAGGCAGGACTGCAGAACACCTACTAGGGCAGTGTTTCTCAAATGCGGCCACCATGGGCTTTTCATGCGGCCACAACAGCCTCCTGGGTAGTAATTGGGGGGGGGGGGGGAGAGGAAGCATTAGTCCCTCCCTCCCTGTTGCTACTGGATGCGCCGCCCTGCACCACCTCTGGAGACGGGCGGGGCACAGTGCTGCAGGAGCAAGGTGAGTATTTGACCCACCTTGGGGGAAGGGAGTTTGGGCGGCAGACTCCAGCGGTGGGACTTGGGGAACCTGGCCATGTGGTCCTGGGCTCCAACCACGGGGCATCAGGTACTGACACCCAACCCCTTCCCCCCGGCTCTGGCCACATGGTCCTGGCTTCCAGCTGCGGGGCTTCAGCCTCCAGCCCCTGTTTCAGGCTGTGTGGCAGCAGGCACTGGCCCCCCGATGCCTGTCCTGGGCTTCAGCCACGCCGTGGCAGGTGCTGGCCCCAGGCGGCGATCCCTAGCCCCAGCCGCATGGCAGCGGGCTCCAACCACGGGGCTTTGGGTGCCAACCTCCGGCTCCGTCTGCGGGGTTTCGATCTCTGGCCCCCAGTTCCAGCCATGCAGTGGTGGGTGCTGGCCCCAGCCACCAAACCCCAGCCCTGGCCATGCGGCAGCAGGCTACCACTGCGGGGCTTTGGGCGCCGACCCCGGCTTCAGCCCCGGGGCAGCAGGTGCTGACCCTCGCAGCTACAGCTGCATGACCCCAGCCCCTGGTGCTGATCCCCTGCTCCAGCCGCATGGCAGCAGGCGCCCTCCCACAACTCTGGTCTCGGACTCCGGCCATGTGGCTCTAGCCATGCAGTGGCGGGCTCCAGCTCCGGACTTTGGCAATGCAGTAGCAGGCAGTAGCCCCGGGCGCTGACCCACAGTTCTAGACGTGTCCCCTAGTGCAGGGGTTCTCACCACATATTTTTTGGTGGCCTCTGAGTGCGGCCACCAACTCTCGCTCATGGCTGCACTGACACTTTTTCCTAACATACTTAACTAACTTTAGGAAAAACAATGAAATATGCACAGATACACATCCACATCTTTGTAATTTACATATGTTGGGTTTTTTTGCAGACTCAATAATAAAAATAATGCTGGGAAAAGTGATATTTGTATATTCATTAATGTCACTTTTCACAGCTCACTTACTAGCTATCTGAGAGGTTGTGAAAAGTGATATTAACAAACATACAAGTATCACTTTTCACAACCTCCCAGATAGCTAGTAAGTGAGCTGTGAAAAGTGATACTTGTATGTTTGTTAACATCACTTTTCTCAGCAAGTCACAGGACCCAGCCCTGGATGGAGTGGTTGGAGGAGGCAGCGTGGTCTAGAGGCAATGGTGAGATGGATGTGGGGCCAGGGGAGGCAGTGGTGGCTCAGGGACATGGGGGGGGGGGGATGAATGCAGGGCCAAGAAGGCAGCAGGGTTCAGGGGTGATGGGGGTGGGAAGTATACGTGGCCAGGGGCGATGGGGGCAGGAAGGATATGTGGCCAGGGGAGGCAACGGGAGCCAGGGGCGATGGGGGTGGGTGATGAGCCTCGCTGTCTCATAACCAGAGCCACAGGTGGGTGTCTGCTGCCAGGGTCGGGGCTCAGAGCCAGGAACTGTGTGGCTGGAGCCAGGGACTGGAACCTGCTGCTGCACGTCTAGAACTGTGGGTCAGCGCCCGGGGCTACTGCCTGCTACTGCATTGCCGAAGTCCAGAGCTGGAGCCCACCACTGCATGGCTAGAGCCAGTGCATCCCATCACATGCTGCCTGTGCAGAGCTTAACCCACATCAACTGCTACAAAGATCATGACTTCTGAAATGGTAGCGGTTAAGCAGTGGTGTGTAGCCATGTTGGTCCTAGGATGAGAGAAACAAGGTGGTGAGGTAATTATCTTTTAGTGGATCAACTTCTGTTGTTGGAAAAGACAGGCTTTCAAGCTTCACAGAGTTTTCCCCTGAAGTCTGGAGAAAGTAACCAGAGTGTCCAAGCTAAATACAAGGTGGGACAGATTGATCAGCATAAAGGGTACACTCATGTTGTAGGAGACCACTTGAAATGAAGTGGGCAATTAACACCTCTTCAGTGGTAGGATAATGGAGGGTTAATAGGCAGCATATGAGAGACAAGGATGCTCTGTGAGACGCTGCAAACAATAGTGGAAGACATAGAATTTTGCCATTTAAGATGGAAATTTTGCAACATGAAGAAAAAGAAAGCCAAACTTAACAGTGACATCTACTTCCTTAGCAAATGCAGGAAACAAGTCATCATTCCCTGAGGACTCACTATCAGTAACTCTCTGATCACTGCATAAAACTCTAAATATGTTGAGTAGCTCTGCAGAAGGACTTCAGGAAAACTGAGGAACCATCTCCTGCATCTCACATATTCCAGAAGGGACCACTTCAAATCATCACATGCTCCCACACACAGGAAGGAAAGAAAAAAATAAATCAGGAAATCTACATGGATGCCACAGGGAAGCAACTCTAACACAGACATGTGTTACTGCCCCTCATTGTCAAAGTGGTTCCTCAAAGCCTCTCTGATGTTAATAGCAACCCTCTGGGCTCCTCTGACAGCCCTAGCATCTGGCTGTTCAAACTGTGCAGCCAAGCGCTCTGCCTCAATGCTCCAAAACTGAGCAAACATTTCACCCTTAGATTCACACAGATTATGCAAAGTGCAGCACGTGGCTATGACCAAGGGAATATTATCCTCGGTAAAGTCTAGCCTGCCATTTAAACAACTCCAGCGAGCTTTCAAACGACCAAAGGCAGATTTGACTACCATGTGGCACCTGCTCAGCCTGTTGTGAAAACACTCCTTGCTGCTGTCCAGGTGCCCTGTGTAAGGTTTCATGGGCCAGGGCTGTAAGGGGTAAGCCAGGTCTCCCAGGATTACTATGGGCATTTCCACATCCCCCACTGTGAACTTGTGGTCTGGAAAGAAAGTCCCCGCCTGCAGCTTTCTGTACAGGGCACTGTTCCTGAAGATGCATGTGTCATGCACCTTTCCAGACCAGCCTGCACTGATGTCCGTGAAACGTCCCCGGTGATTCACAAGCGCCTGCAACACCATGGAGAAGTATCCCTTCCTATTGATGTATTCCAGTGGCTCTCAAACTTTTGTACTGGTGACCCCTTTCACATAGCAAGCATCTGAGTGCGACCCCGGCTTATAAATTAAAAGTATTTTTTTATATATTTAACACCATTATAAATGCTGGAGGCAAAGCGGGGTTTGAGGTGGAGGGGGACAGCTCGTGACCCCCTGAGGGGTCCTGAACCCCTGATGTATTCAGAGGCAAGGTGGTCTGGCGCTAAAATTGGAATGTGTGTGCCATCAATCACCCTGCCACAGTTAGGGAAAGCCATCCACTATTTCATGCACATTTCCCAGAGTCACGGTCCTACGCAGCAGGATGCGATTTATTGCCCTGTACACTTGGAGTAATACAGCCCCAACAGTGGACTTTCCTACTCCAAACTGATTTGCAACTAACCGGTAGCAGTCTGGATTCACCAGCTTCCACACAGCGATTGCAACACGCCTCTCTACCGGAAGGGCAGCTCTCAGTCTGGTGTCCTTGCATCTCAGGTCGGGGAACAGCTCAGCATATAGCTCCATGAAGGTTACTTTATGCATCCTAAAGTTCTGTACCTACTGGTCGTCATCCCACACCTGCATGACAATGCGATCCCACCAATCAGTGCTTGTTTCCCTAGCCCAAAAGCGACGGTCAACCGTATGCAGCTGCTCTGTGAATGCACAAAGCACTGATAAGTTGCTGCCATCCATATCACACTTGGATGCCTGTGATTCATCCTCTGCTAACTTTGCGAGTAACTCTGAGAATAACTGTGCTGCCATGCTTGATGTCCTCACGACAGCTAACAGCACATAGGAGAGAAGTGTGGGATCCATCCTCTCTCACTGCAGATGCTGGCGCGGACTACAAAAGAATGACAGTTGGAAAAACTGGCAAAAGGAAGTCCGAGACCTTTGGAGGGGTGG